TATTTTTTTTTTGGCGGTATTGAAATCACGCGGATCATATTATTTCATAACTCGATTTTAATATTTTAATAGCAAACGACCCATATGTCTGATTTTGAGTACAATAGGAGCAATTTATTTTTTTGTTTTTTTTTATTAACTAATAGAAAGTATTACACTTTCTGGAGTATACATAAAGCGAAACCACCTTTGAAATCATTATGCCGATTGAATCTATAATTTTTCTTCCCTTTAATAAAGTATCTCTCATTATAACGTGAAAACCTTTTCAGTAGATTCAACCGTCAACTAGTCGCGACTCTAACAAAATTTTAAAATTTTGTTTAAAAATTTAATTAACGTTGCAAAGAGTACAATATATAATTTAAGTTTTCGACAGAATTAAAGTTGTTAGAATCCCATTCGGAAACAAATTTGAAACCTTTTAATAAATTGAGAATTCCGCGAAGTTCTGTAATTAGGTTAAATTTGGAACAGCGACTTGTTCTCAGTCATTTGAAAATTCCGGAGCCGACTTTTAAATTTTGCAGAGGACTTCAACAACTGGTAGCACCACGAATTACCTTAATTATCACGGAAATTCCCGCCAAAAATTCATACACCTGATTAACTTTTTTAGGTCTTATAGTAAAGAAGACTTCCAAAATATTTTTAAGATGGTAAATTAATCCAGTGGTCTTGGAGAATAAGTGATCTAGTGCGGTATTCGATACTTGTTATCATAGAAAGAAATTTTTTATTACATTAGAGGATACAAGTTTCGTTAAATACCTAGAAGTTTTAATAACATTACCCTTAAATACAATGGAAAAAATATTATTTGAAGCTTGTTCTCAATCCATACCTTGATTAAGAAACAAAATGATTCTTCCTTTAATAATAAATGTATTACCTTATATTTATTATCGTCTGTATTACAACTTTTTTTTTTTTTACTATAAATGATTTCAAAAATAATTTTGTTAATCATTTTTAACTGAAACTAGCTAAATTTCATTTCAAAAATCATCAGTTGACACATTAAATGAATGTATATTTCGGATAATTAACTTTCGGGATAATGGTTTTCAGGATTTGAACAGCTCCCGATGATTTAAGAGAGAATTAAAGTTAATAATTTCATCCTATCTGATCGTTATCAATACTTTCAAAGGACAAAAAAAAAATGATTTTAATAATACCATTTAGGTAAGCATTTCGAAGTTTCCAAATTGAGATTTCTTTTTGAAGAAAATTAAATCTAACAAATCCTTTATAATAATGTTACGTAATACAAATCTAATGAAAGATTTTAGTCAAGTTTATATGATTAATAACCATTAATGAAAAGTTTCAGATTGTATATAATGAGTGTTACTATTATTATAATCCTTTCAATGGAATAATTAAATTCGCATGTCTAAGGTAATTTAATTTCAGAACATGTTTCAATTTTTCAGCAAACATTAATAGTTTCAAGCTCGAACTAAATTTTGTTCAAAATGCGACGAAAAATTAATGATGACGTAAGTTTTTTAAGAAAAATTGGCTGTATAAAAAAGGATACACTTTACCATACTTAAAAGAACCCATTGTCCTTAATTCATTTAATATGGATTAGTGATTTAATAATTGAAGAATTATTTTGACAATCTGTTGAAAGAACCACATGTAAGATCGATAATCAATAATTAATAAAGTTATGAATCAAATCTCGGTGATAAACACGGAAAATTTTATCGACGATATCTATCGGATTTTGTTACAGTGTCATTTTTTCATTGTTGCAAATTATAATCCTATATGAGTTCTTATGTGTATGTTTAAAATATTATTATTTTATCATGA